CACAGCTCAGTGCTGCTGTTGAGGACAGCAGGTGAAGCAATGCTGAGGTGTGAGAGATTGGCCATCACATGGCATAAGTCTGATTTTTGATATTTAATTTCAGGAACCCTAAAATAACAACAGGCAGTATCTTGAACGTGCTGTTGATTGCTGGTTCTTACCTCCTCATGGTTTCTCTTCAGAGCAATCAGCTCATCTTTCAAGGACTCCAGCTCAGATTCCAGTGAAGACCTAACCAGAGTCAGGTCATCCAGCATATTTCTCAAGCCATTGATGTCAGACTCCACAGTTTGACGGATGACCAGTTCATTCTCATACCTTTACCACAGACAACAGAGACAAATGAGATGATGGCCATCAACAGCACGTCTTTCCATGACAGTACCCCAATAAAACATGGAGGCTCAGTCACAGCACGTGGTGCAGTGCATTGCCTGCTGAATTTAAGATAGAACAGATGTGGGGTTCACAGAGAGCTACTCACTTCATTCGGAAGTCATCAGCAGTCATCTTGCTGTTATCGATGTCCAGAAGCATCCTGTTGTTGTCCACAGTGGCAGAAATGATCTGCAAAAGAAGAGGTTGGAGAGGAGTCAGTCAGTGCTCAAGGTGCAGGAGAAGAAGAAAGGAACCAGAGCTCTGAGAGGGCTTTGTTGCCAAACTCAGAGCTGTTTCCTGCTGTATTGCAGGGACTGTGGGAGTGGATTGCGCTCCAGATTTGCTTTTCAAAGAAACTCAGGCTACGCTGCTGTTTGTCAAGTTGGAAATAGTTATCTACGACTCCTGGGGACTGCATTTATCCCTATTCCTGCAATGTGATCCTTCCTAGACTGTTTACTGAAATTTCTTGGAACAGGAATAAGATAGCAGCAAGGGAAGGCCTTGTTCCTTCTGGCTGACTTGTGTGGGAGTGTGCAAAACCAAAGGCAATGCAGGTCTTGCAGTGCAGCTGTTTGGCTTTGTGGGATGGGAGCAGTGTGGGAAGTGTGGAACCGTGGGGATCCAGCGATGTGCTCCACCGTGGTTGGGCTGCAGGAGGCCCCATGGAGCCTCAGACTGTGCCCCCATAGCCCAACCGTTCCCTGCCGGGCAGTGTGGGGCAGCCGAGCAGCCCCCAGGACAGCAGCGGGCAGCCCCCAAATGCCCCAGGCTGTGGAAGGCAGCGGGGAGGAGCGAGAGCTTTGGGGCAGCGCTGGTGCGGGAGATGGAGCGGCGCCGCGGGGCTGCCCTACCTGGTTTTGGAGCTGCTCGATGGTCTGGTAGTAGGAGCTGTAGTCCTTGGAGGCGCTGGGAGCTTGCTTCCTGTACCACTCGCGGATGTGGAGCTCGAGCTGGGCGTTGTCCTCCTCCAGCCTTCGCACCTTGTCCAGGTAGGAGGCCAGGCGGTCGTTGAGGTTCTGCATGGTGATCTTCTCGTTGCCGCTCAGCAGCGCGTCCCCCCC